GACATCTGTAATACTTTCAACAATAAAGATAAATTGAAAAATAAAAATAAAATTCATGCCAAATCTGAAGGAACTCTAATGGCCAAAACAACCTTCAAAAAGGACAAAGTTAGAGGGCTCACACATCCTGATTTCAAAACTTAATACAAAGCTACAGTAATTAAAATGGTGTGGTACTGATATAAGATAGACTTAGAGACCAACTGGAATAGATTAGAGAGCCTAGAAATAAACCCTTGACTATATGGTAAAATGATCATTGACAAGGTGCCAAGAATATAAGATGGGGGAAGGATAGACTCTTCAATATATGGTACTGGGAAAATTGTATATCCACATTGAATAGAATGAAATTTGGCTCTCGTTTTATACTATACATAAATATCAACTCAAATGGATAAAAAACTTAAACATAAAACTTGAAACTGTAAAACTTCTAGAAGAAAACATAGGAGAAAATCTTCTTTACATTGGTCTTGGCAATAATTTATTGAATTTGACACCAAAAGCAAAAGCAACAATAGCAGAAAAAGACAAGTGCAATTACATCAAACTAAAAAGGTTCTGCATAGCAAAGGGAACAATGAAATGAAAAGTCAACCAATGGAAATGGAACAATGAAATGAAAAGTCAACCATTTGCAAACCATATACCTGATAAAGAATTAATATCCAAAGTATTGCCTGGCTGTCTGGCTCAGTTGGTTGAGCACTGTCCTGTGCACTGAAAGGTTGCCGGTTTGATTACCACTTAGGACACATGCCGCACTTGTGGGTTTGAACCCCAGTTGGGGTGTGTACAGGAGGCACACCAACCTATGTATTTTTCTCACATTGATGTTTCTCTCTCCCTCCCTCTTCTTTTCTCTCTAAAAAATATCCAAAATATATAAGAAATCCCCAAAATTCTATAGCAAAAAACCAAATAACCCAAATTTAAAATGGGCAAAGGATCTGAATAGACATTCATTAAAAGAAGACATATAAATGGCCAACAAGTATATGAAAAGGTGCTCAACATCACTACTCATTAGGGTAATGCAAATAAAACCCACAAAGAGATATTCACCTCACACCTGTTAGGATGGCTATACAAAAACATAAATTAAAAAAAGCAAGTTTTGGTGAGGATGTGGAGGAAAGGGATCCCCTGTACACTAATGGTGGGAATGTAAATTGGTATAGCAGCTGTGGAAAACAGTATAGAGTTGCCTTAAAAAATTTAAAAATAGAATTTTTGTATGATCCAGGAATCCCACTTCTGAATATATATATCCAAAGGAAATAAAATTCATGGATGAACCTTGAGGACATTATACTAAGTAAAATAAGCCACACACACACACACACACACACACACACACACACACACACAAATACTGTATGATCCTATTTTTATGAGAGAAGTAAAATACTTAAACTTATAGAAGCAGAGAGTGGATGGTGGTTGCCAGGGGATAAGTGGAGGGGGAATAAAAATGATGTTGTCAAAAGATATACAATTTCAGTTGTGCAAGAGGAATAAGTCCCAGAGATCTATTGTACAGCGTAGTGTCTATAGTTAACAATATTGTATTGTATACTTAAAAGTTTGCTAAGAAGGTAGTTCTTATGTTAAGTATTCTTATCACACACAACAAGTTACAAATTAAAAAAACAAAATGTGTAGAGGAAACTTTTGGAGGTGATTGATATGTTTACAGTATTGATTGTGGTCATGGTTTCATGAATGTACACTTATCTACAAACTCATCAAGTTGTATGCATTTGGTATATCAATCATACCATAATAAAGTGTGTTTATTATTTTTAAAAAAACCATTAAAAACCATCTTGAACCCACAAAAAAACAAAAAATCCGGGAATTCTTCCCAGGGGAAGAAGAGCATTATTTCTCAAATGGGGCAAAATTTGACCAGAGAAAAGGTAGGAAATAATAGGAAAGCAGGACTCAGACAATGTATCTTCTCTCCTTTCTTATTTTTTGAATGTTTGGGAGAAAATCTGTCAGTTCAGGAGAATGTAATTTAATAATAACAACAACAGCAACTACAATAACAATAGCTAATATTTATTGAGCTCTTTTATGGGCTAAGCAGTTCCTAAAGACTTCAGGTACATTGTCTTCTCTCTCATGAAATTTTATTACATATTCATTTATTTAAAATATTTGTCTCACATTTTCTGTGTGCTAGACACTGTGCTAAGTGCTAAGGAAACCATGATAAATCAAATCATTATGGTCCCTGTTCCTGGAAATCATACGGTATAGTAGGAGAAACACACATTAAACTGATAAAAATAAATATTTATTGACATGTGATAAATGACATGAAAGTGTGACAGAATAATTGGGAGGGCCCTTCTGATAGAGTGGTCTGAGAAGGTCTCTTTTAGAAGGTGACATATGTAAGCTGAGGCTTAAAGCATAAGGCGGAGCGGGGCAGGCAGGCAGAAGGGTCTTACGGCAGAAGTGAATAACTACCGTAGAGAACTCTTTCCTTGAATGGAGGAGCTGAAAGAAGATTGGGGAAGTAAATAGAGATAGTGGTGGGAGAGTGATGAGAGCTGAGGCTGGAGATGGGCCAGATCATCCAGGGCCATAGAGATGCAGTTTCATTCTGAGTGCACAGGGAAATCTTGCCATGTTTTAAGCAGACAAGTGAAAGATCTGATTTATATTAAAAATATTACTCTAGCTGTCTTTTGGAGAATGGAATAAAGGGAGATAAGAGCAAAAGTTGGGGAGAGTTGTTCAGAGTTTACTGTAGCATTCCAGGTTAGAGATGATGATGATTACATAGATATAGGGCGGTGGTTGAAGATTTGCAAAGAAGTGGATAGCTTTAAGATATATAGTTGGAAGTAGAGTCCAAAGGGCCTGATGATAGAGAAGCTGAAGTCAAACTCAGGTTCCAGGTTTGAGTAATAGGGCTGATGGATTACCCTGCTCATTTTTCAGTCTAGGAGACCAAAGCTCCAAGAGCTTAGGTAGCATGTTCCAGGAGATATATCTAATACATGATTTGAGCATGAGTCCATCCAATTCCAAAGACAACACACATAACCAACATACTGTACTCTCCCAGTGAGTCACAATTCTGCTTTCTAAAAGGAGAGACGTGCTTGTCTTCTGAATTATAGTCTCTCTGGCAACCATAACTCCATTTGCTTAGTTGCCAAAGAGAAAGTCAAAATCCAGGTATGTTATCTGAAGTATGTCTTGTCCTGGAGCAGATCAGAAAATGTTATTGGGATCATAGGCTGCAAATGATGTTATTCCTTAAAGGTTTGACCTAGGTAAGCAGATTTAAGTCTGAAGGACTGGAAGTGATAATCCTAGATATTCAAATTCAGTTTCTAGGCAGAAACCAACCTCTATTGTCTCCCATGGGATCAGAAGATGTGTCATTGCTGACTTCCTTTGAGACCTTTCAGCAACTTAGATGATGTTGTTCAGGACAGTTGCCCTGGAAGAGATGGGTTTACTTTAATGGGAAATGAAGTAGCTTAATAAGGACCAGAGCCCCAGGCCATCTCCCATGGCTACAGAGGAGGTCTGGAGAGCACTGGAAGGCAGATAGGGATATTGATAGCAAAGGGCAGAATTACACTGAAAAACAAGTAGGCTGCCCAGCCAGGCGTGGCTCAGAGGTTGGGCGTCGACCTAGGATCCAGGAGATAGAGGTTCGATTCCCGGTCAGGGCACATGCCCAGGTTGTGGGCTCGATCCCCAGTCAGGGGCATGCAGGAGGCAGCCAATTGATGATGACTCTCTCATCATTGCTGTTTCTGTCTCTCTCTCCCTCTCCCTTCCTCTCTCTGGAATCAATAAAGACATACTTAAAAAAAATTTAAAAAATAAATAAAAACCGAGTAGGCTAAAAACTCAGATACGTGTGGTAAGAAAACTTTTTGGATCTGTTTTGGTGATGTCCTGAGCCTTTCTGTATTCTGCTGGTATTTATTCATCTGTAAAATGGCTCCTTTTACTTTATTTGCAAAGTCATAGGTCTGATGAGAGAGGTAAGAATGTAAGAACATGGGGAAATCATGGGCTTACCTGTTTGGATTGATAAACTTTGGAGTAAATTGTGGTGAGATCATTGTTTTTCATAGGTTTTGGGATATCCATTTTCTGTAAAAAGTAACCATACTCATTTGGTTCACACAGACAAAGAGATACTCATGAAAAGATATATTCCCAGGAAAAGGCAATGTGACAAAGTTCTTTAGGGGGAAGGCCAAGGAGTGTTTAACAAGAGGAGCCGGAGACCAAACACCACCAGCTCTCAAACCTGTGAAAGTTTAGTGGCATTTTCTGAGCCCCAAACAGAAGCAAGCCCCAGCAAACCAGTGGGATCAAGAACCAAAGACAGAAGGGTGACTTTCTTGGCAAGTGTTGTGGAGAAAAGGAAACATTCTTGTCCTGAACTCAACTCTACTGTCTTTTGTCTCAGATCTTAACTGGCTATAACTGGAAGGTATTGCCTGCTCTATTTTGCCCCTGTAGTTCTAACTGCCTGGTCATCAAGTCATTGGGTTCTTCTCAAGCAGGGGGAATTGGTAGAGCAGGAGAAACTTCTGGTGTTAAGAGTGACTCTGCTTGGAATACAAAGTATAACAATAACAGCAGAAGTCCCCTGTGCTCAGAGGTTTTGACATTTAAACTTAATTGAGGAATATTTAGGGTACTATCAAGACCTCTGAAACTCTCCAAAGTACAATTTTATGCTAAAGAAAAAGTTAAATTTGCAGACGATTAGTTTCTTGGTTTGTTGAGAGTGATTCATTTTGTCTTCGAGAGGAAATGGGAAAGACAATAGAAATACTGCACAAGTAAAAGTTTCCCTTCATGTTCCCTCTCTTCAAGGAGCCTGCTTTGCAAATACCTGTGAAGGGATGTATGAGGGGACCAAAGATTTCTAGCTGGACTATTGCTTTCATCGGCTGGAGAATAATGAGTGCTCTGGGCCTGTTTTTCAGATGACATAGAAACTGGCCTCCCAAGATGTACAGTGTCCTTTAGAAATGTGCCTCTTGCAGGTGGTGGGGAATTGTTGATGCCTGGCCAAGGCCATCTGGTTATGTTGCTAAAGGGGTGGGGGAGGGGGGATTGAGGGCTGCTCCTGCATTTACTGTCCTCTCCTATGGAAGTGCTGCAAATTCCTGCTGCTCTTCTCCTCTTGAGAGACTGTTTCTAAGCACCCCTACTTCCCCTGCTACCAAACTGTCTCCTTTGGAAACTCTCAAACTGAGTTAAACTTTGATCCACTCAACAAGTATTTACTGAGCATCATGCTAAGACATAGGGGAAGAGAGAGGAAGACATGATTTTTACTTTCAGGCAACTTACAATTAAGCTGAAGGGACCAGACTTACTGATGCATTAAGCAGTTAGAGAACAGTGTAAATAAGGGTATGAATAAACGTTCTATTGGGGCGAGATCAGTTGGGGCTGGAATGGTCCCACATAGAACTTTGTAGCTCCTGGAGCTGCCTTCTCTCCTTAATCGTGAACATCATTTGGATTAGTCAGATGATTGTGGTGACAGTTAGCGAATGATGATGTAAAAATAATGCTAATGATGGAGTATAAAGCTGAAAGGACTCACCGTATTGGGATGAGTGACCTGAGCATACACAGAGAGTGGATCATACTCTGAGTTCCTCTGGGTATCTGCTGGAAACACAGGAAGGCACAGCCAGTTGCAGAAGCACTCTGGGTCTGCTCTCCTACCCCAAGGGACTTCCTGGCCCTAAAGATGCAGTTGTTCAAGGCATTGCCATTCCTTAGGGTTCATTCATTTTTGACAGTCTTTGTAATTCTGGATTGAACCAGAAACTTCTCAGCCATGTGATCTGTTTCTGACCTCATCTCTTGGAGATACATGGTCTTGAGGTACCCTAAAGTTTCAGAGTCTCCCACTGAATTCACATGTAAGCAAGGAAGCTCCTAGCACCAAATAGTGCTGTATTCATAAGAGCTAGAGAACCTCACTGGCCAGGGTAATGGAGCTGGATTATTTCATGTACATGTTATTAAACTTTTCAGAGGTCCTTAAGGTGGGTTTGATTATATTAGAGATGAGCAACTGTAGGCTCAGAAAATTCAATTGACTTGGCACAAAATTACACAGAAAGTGATCCAATAAAGAACTTAAATACATGCCTTCTCACTCTAAATCTCATGCCCTGTCCTCTACACATGACATCATATATCTCTCCCCCATGAAATGAGACTCGGTACTAACTTGAGTTCAGAGTTTGCACTGCAGTGTCTCTATCACATGTTCTCTTTTGATTGTTTTTACTCAATTCCCAAACTCTGGATGAACAGAGTGATGGGGTCAGGCAGTTTGTCTTTGGGCCTTTGATGCTCTAATCCTATCCTTGCCCTGGACTTGCTGGGTGATAATAGACAGGCTATGAGCCTTTTCACTGGCACTTAGTTTTTCCATCAGCATGGTGGGGAATGACCCTAATCCCACTCCAAGAAATTGTGTCAGTGACAGATTCACATGCTTGTAAGGGCCCCTGTAGGTCACACAGAGGACAAACTTGCACAGTCACAGGTTCTCCCCTTGTGCCATCTGGTCCATCTGAGTAAAGACATTCTGATGCCATCTTCTCTCATTCTCCAGCCCTCTGACTGGCCCTCTTCTTCAATCTGGCTCTTCTCATCCGTTTAATGATTGGAAGTTAAGAATCTAGAAACTCACCAGGACTCGGAGTTTGCTGAGTAGAAAAAAAATGTAAGGAACCTGAAAAATAAAATCAAGTAAATTGAAACTTGTGACTGTAATGAGAAAATCTTCCACCCACCCACTCCCATAGATGTCTCTCTAGAGAATGTGGTGGGAGGCAACCAGAAAGGGAAGGGCAGGCAGGCCCTGAGGCTGGGTCCTACCTTTCCCAGTAGGCCACCTTTCTCAGGAAGTTAGCAGGTGTGTAATCATACCCCAGGTGTTGTCCCAGTGGACTAGCTGAACCAGTGTTGGCATCCTTCCTCTCTTTACCTGTCTTCCTAAAGACAGGTACAGGGAACCCCAGACTCTAAGTCTCTGAAACCTTGGAGAAGACACAAGTAGGAAGAAAGGCTACCTGTTCCTTTCTTCCTCCTAAAATGTAAGAACACAGCGATACAGGTAAAAGGAATCACTATTATAATCCATAAGAAATTCAAGTATTGATTTTTTTCGTTAAAAGCACCTGAAAAGAAAAAAAAAGAAGTTGCACTTAGGACACATTGAGTAACGTTCAGTTTTTTTCAGAGCCTACACTTAACTTTTTCTAGGCCACTTTTGGGGGTAGGGGGTGGGGTTCCTCTATACTCAGAAGCTCTGGTGCTCTGGGCAGGATTCCTGGAAGTGGGAGACAGGGCAGGGCAGAGCCAGGAGAAGGAAGCAATTCTGACTTCCCAAGGACTTTGCTCTTGGGCTCTGAGTGTGTCGGAGGAGGGTTGGGATTGGGGTTGGGGCTGGGGTGAGGGAGGAAGATGTGACCTCTGGGGGTAGTGAGAGGCACAGAGCACCAGAAAGTGTCTGTTTTCTCCCAGGATTTTTGGCTGCCTCCTACTGGGCTGTTGTTTTGGGAATCCTGTAGGTGATGTGGTCATGACACACCCCATGGCCGCTCAAGGCTCTTAGAGAGACCTGAGACAGACTGTTACCTTTGCAGAGACTTTGGGAAGATAAAGAGGAAGATAAATTGCTGACGGGATTCTTAGCTATGCAAGTGTAGGTCTCTTCACTGGAAATAGAGATAGTGAGGTTTGCTCCCTCTAGAGGTGGGTTTCCTGTGACCTGCCACCTAAATGAGACATGGTCATTTGGATTCTCCACAGAGCAGGCCAAGTGGCTCTCACAGGTCCCATTCTCAAAGACTTGAGTGTGGTTAGCAACTCGTATGTTCGTCAGTCGTCCTGTGTGCAGAGAAAAGACCTAGATTAAGGACAAATGGCTTGGCTCAGCCCTCTGTTAAAAATATTCTTCTCCTCAATGTTTTTGTATTCTGCCTGACACTCTGCTGTATGTTATGATCTGTATACTCTGTAAATAACTTTCTTTACATTGCCTAACTGATGGGATCAAGATATGGGGTGACCAAATGATGAGGGACATCAGTATGAGACAGAGAAGCCAGTGGGAGAAATGAAAAGTGAAAGGCTGAGGTTGCCACCAGCTAGTTGGATGATTTGGGGCTGATCACCTTGCTTTTCTGCACTTCAGTTTATTCCTGGGGTCCTTTCTAGCCTTTACTTTCTGCCCCTTGTATAAAAACAATTTGGAGACTAAGCTAAGGGCCAGCCCTACCTTAGCCAGGTCAGAAACCAGAACCAGGCCCAAGAGCCCCATTTCTTCCATAATCAGAATTCCCTAGCTGGGGTGGAAGATGAAAGCTTATCTTTCTTGGGGAACTGTATTTCCCACAAGTCTACAGGAATCCTGGCCCTCATTGCATCGGATGCTGGCTCCAATGGTGACAAAGAGACCCTGATGTGAAATGTCATCAAGACAGAAAGGGACATGTTGAAAACCAAAAAAGTAGGGAAGAAAAAAGAGAAGAAACTGAGAGAGCAAGCAAGTTATTCTGGGCAGCAAAGAAGTGCAATATATTCAGGCATTTTAGAACACATTTACTGCAGAAATTTCTGACAACAGAGACCAGAAAATATTGGCTAGTGAGATGTCAATAGCTATGAATCAATGGGGACATGGGGACAGTACAGAAAAGGTCACTGACCTATACTTGGCCTAAGGTGACCCAGTAAACAACAGAATGACTCCAACTGTCTGATTAGAAGAGACAAAGTAATGCTTTAAGTTTAGTTAATTGAATAGGGCTGGTGGAACCTATTTTGCCAGAATGGAGCTTTTATGTAACAGCAAGTGTTGAATTTGGAGTTAAGACCTACATTAGAATTATTATTTTGTTATTTAATGGCTATATGACCATGGCTACATTGTTAATTGCTTCAAGCCTCTGTAAAACTGGGCATGAATACCTGCTTCTTAGGTGAATTATGATGATTAAATAAGACAGTGCCCAGCAGAGCAATGGCAAATATTTGGCATGAATGTCACATCTCCCTCAGCCTTTGTTCATGGCTGACCTCAAAAAAATGCCTTATTACCTTTTTCCACTTGATGAATATGTATCTGCCTACTTGACATTTCTACTTGGATATAACATGTATTTCAAACAACATGTTCAAAGGAACTCCTGTTTTTCTCTCCAAAACCTGCTCCATCTGCAGCCTTCCCCACTTTAGTCAATAATGACTTCACCCAACAGCCAAGAATATCAGAATTCAGCCACTTCTCACTACTTCCCCTGATACCATCCTGGTCCAAGCCAGCACCATCTCTTGCTTGGACTGTTGCAGTGGCCTCCTTGTTGGTCCAGTGGTTTCCATCTTTGTCCCTTACAACCTATTTGCAACAGAGCAGCCAAGTAAGTCAAATCGTATTACTTCTTTGTAAAGCTCTCCAGTGGTTCTAAATCTCACTGAGATGTAGAAGCCAAAGTTCATATGCTGGCTCTCAGAGCCTTACATGAGTGATGTGGCCCTCAATTTTCTTACTGACCCTCATTTCCTATTACTCTCTCCCCCTCTGCTCCTTGATGTTCCTTGAACATGCCAGGCACAAGAGAGTGCATGTACTGGTGTTCTTTGTCCAGATACCTTCATGGCTTACTTCCTCACCTCCAACAGGTCTTGACTCAAATGTCATCTTCCCAGTGAGGCTTAGCATGAGCACCCTAATTAAAATTGCTCCCTGCTCCCTGTGGGCACTTCTGATGCTCCTATGCTGTTCTAATCTCTCTTTTCTCCACAACACTCATGGCTTTCTTACGTACTCTGCCATTTGTTTATACATTTCATATATTGTTTATTATCTCCTCTCATTCCCAACCCAGAATGTCAGCTCCATGAAGGCAGGGATCTTGGTCTGTTTTGCTCACTGATATATTTCAGGTGCCTAAAACAGTTTCTCGTCCATCGTCCATAGTCAACAAATATTGCTGACTCAATGAATAAACTTAACATGGCTTCAACATCTTTCTTAACAATGAACTCTAGGCAGTTAATCCCAATTAATCGATCTTGGTCTGTAAGACAAAATCCTTGCCATTCCTAGCCTGGTACATGAAGTAATTGGTCAATGTTTTACAAAACCTATATAGTTCATACCTTGAAATTCCTTTGTGCTATTGTAAAACATATTGGTGTGGCTCTTTGTGTACGTGCCTTTGAAGGAGAGTTACTTTAAAAGACCCTGAGAAGGGATGGACATTGAGCCTCAGGAGTGTGGTTATTGCAGAAGTCATGTTGGTCTTCTGAATGGTGGAAGAAGTACGTTGTCTCTACAAGCGCGATGGAGTGTGACATGGGGTCTGCTCTCAGACTTTCCACTGGATATGTCTCTTCTCTCCAGGGCCCTAGTACTGCCTTGAGGATCATTGATAACCCAGAGTGATCCTGCGTGTAGTGGGTTGAATGATGACCGCCCCCCCCAAATATTCTAATTCCCAGAATCTTATTTGAAAAAAAGGTCTTTGCAGATGTAACCAAATTAGATAAGATGATCCTGGGTTATCTATCTGGATGGGCCCTAAATCCAATAAGTGTCCTTATGAGAGAAAAGCAGAGAGATATTTGAGACAGAGAGGAGAAAACACAGGGAAGAGGTAATGTGACCATGGTTCTCCCAGGAAGATAAGCATTCCTGTCATTCATGGCATCACTGATTGCTAGAAGGATTTTTTTTTTTTTTTTCTGACATTGATTCATAAACTGTGTTGTTATAGTTTCCATAATTTTATGTTGAGGACATGAGCTGCTTGGGGAAATTATTGTTTTGTTAATTAAACAACCTTGATAGAAAATACATTTCTCTTTTTCAGCCCATCTTTATAGGACATTTTCTACATAGACTATTGTTCTGTACATTGAACACTGGGTCAGATGAGCCTTTGTGTAAATGCAGGCATCATAGCACCTAGTTATATGGGAAGCTCTCCAACTTGCTATTTCTGTGATTGTAGGGGGTTGATCTAACTGACATTGTGCCTCAGGGGTAAAAATGGTACCTACCTCATGGTGCTTTTGTGAGGATTACATGACAAATACATGTAATGACATGGCAACAAAATCATAGATATTTCACTTCCATTAATCCCTCTACATTTGTAGTTGAAAGGGACCATTTTATGGTGTGAGGGGGAGTGAGGTGATTTTGGGCTGGCAGTCACATGACGTAGGTTCTAGTCTCAGTTCTGTCAACTAACTGGCTGTGTGATGCTATTGAGTTGCTCTACCACTGGACCTCAGTCTGGCTCCAAATGCCATATTCTTTACCACTAGGCTATAGCGCATATTTGCAGTCACATAGAATTGAAATATGTCATATTTCTTAGTATGTACATAATTAAACCCCAAACTTTGACTCACTGAAGATCTCCAGATTGTAATTGGAAATATTTTTGGAGTTGCTTGTAGTTATCTGGGCACGGTAAGGTCCGCTGTCTGCTATTGTCAGGTTGCTGATCTGCAAGGAGTAGAACTGGGTGACTTTCAGTCGATCTTTCCATTTTGGATCAGTCACCTGGATTTGTGCTTTATTTGCCGGTATGAAAATGATAGATGTTCCATCATGAAGCCAAGTGATAGCTTGGATCTCCTCTTCTGCAGGAAGCTCCAGGGGAAGAGTTACTGACTCCCCCAGCACCCCTTTTACCAGCAATGAGTTTTCTCTGGTTTGTGAAACTGTGTTCCCTGTAAATACAGAAAGGAAACTGATATAACTTCCCCTGCACTCTTTCCTTGCAACTCTGCCAATCTGTTAGAGCTCTCTACTGAAGCCCGGAGATATGATGAAGAGGGAAAAGGTTAGGAAAAACTTTAAATGGACTATCAGAAAGGCTCCACCCCAACAAAATGTCTGGCACTCTTGGTTAATGGGCTGTTGGCCCCGATGATCCTGGCCTAGTATACTCTCCCATACTGGCTGGTTACCCTGGGCCATTCATGCTCTCTGACCCCAGCCTCTGAATTCTTTCTCCAAGCATGAGGTGGAGGGGTACAGGGAACTACATCAACTCCCTGCTGTATATTCCAAAACCACAAGTGTTTGCTGATAATGTATAATAAAGCTCAGCATTTACTGATTTTCTATGTGTCCAACAGAGTGGGCTTGTGAGATTTAGAGGACTAATAATTTACAGTTCTTTTTATACATTACTTCATTTGAGGCTGACAATTCCTGTGAGGTAGGTAGGATGGATGTTATTATCTCTACTTATAGATAAAGGAACTGAGGCACAGAGTAGTTAACTAGTAATTTCCCCAGGGTTACAGAATGAGTCAGGATTCACACTCAACTACTTTGACCCCAACTACTTTGTGCTCTTCTCAGGATACGAGAAGTTATCTTTTCTCCTCTCAAAAAGATTATAGTCTAGTAAAAGAGATACACAATAAAGTAATAAATATCATTTCAAAGGAACATATAATGGCCATATTTTCATGAGCTTATCTCAGAACCATTAATGTTTGAGCAAAAAAGGTGAAACAGTCACAAAGATTCTTAAAGATGCTTCCAGAGCATTCTTTGCCGAATACTTAGCACTTATTACACCCTTTTGTAGCCCTCTGTTTACTTGTTCGTCTAATCAATCATGCTTTAATAGTCTTTGCATGTCAGCACTGTGCCTGACACAAAGTAGTATCTGTTTGAGTGAATCAATAAAAAAATAACTATCACCGTGACCTCAGCCTTCTTGAGATCTCTTAATTCTCAGGAGAGGATCTGAGAAAGGGAAGAAATGTCTCTTGGAATCCTGACATTCAGCTTCTGGGTAAGCTCATTCTTTCTTAAATTGTCATGTGGATGTCAGGCACATGAACATTGCCATAATCAGTCCCACCCCCACCACATCTTTCCCACCAGCACTTTAACATTCTGTTATTAGTCATCTCCATCCTTCTTCCCCCTTGCAACCACATGAGTAAACATGACAAGCAAAACCTTGAGAGAAAGAAAAAAATCCAGGTGCAAATAGAATACAATGGTGTGATTCCATTTATTTGGAGTTATAAAACAGGCAAAACAAATTTATGCCGTTAGAAGTCCAGATAGCAGTTACCTTTGAGGAGAAAGGAGGGATGGCAAATAGGAGGGAGCATAAAGGGAGAACTCGGGGATGCTAATAATGTTCTATTTCTTGACCTGTGTCTGTATACACAGATGTATTCATTTTAGACATTGAGCTGACACTTAGGATTTGCACAGTTTTCTCTCTGTATGTTAAATTTTAGTAAAATATATTAAAACAACAACAAAAACCAAACCAAACCAAAATAATTATCATGACCTATACGGACCGAAATGCTTCTCTTTTCTACCTAATATCCCACAACCGTTCCCTGTGTTCACTTTGCTCAAACTATGTAGGCTTGGCTACTCCTTGAGATGGCTGGAGCTGGTACACTTGCAATTCTTTCTACATGGAATGTGCTTCTCCCAGGTGTCCATGTGTCCCACTCTTTTTTTTTTTTTTTTTTTTTTTTTTTTGTTTG